CAACCACGCCCTTAGCGATGCCAGTAAGGGGTTCTCAACCTCGCTCGCTCCTAAGTGGCTTGGTCCGTACCGAGTGGAGAAAGCTTGCACTCCACTCGCGTACTTGCTGAAGGATCCCCATACGGGAAAACTCAGCCGTGCCATATCGCAGACCTGAAACCCTTTGTATCACGGTGTGACGAGCTCGCGCCAGAGCCCTGCGGCACTTCGCGCCAGCAACGAGGCACACCCGGGGCGGCGGACCGCATTCGGACCCCGCACCGGTATAATCTGAGGAAGCGGTCACCTTTGTGATTTCGCACCGGACGGCGGACTTCTCCGCAACCGAAGGCCCTCAGTTTACTGTCTAGCCTCAGTATAGGTTAGCTTCTTTACGGCCTTTTCTCGTAAAGAAGTTAACCCCGCCCTGTCTGTTGCGAGTTTTTTAAGTGTTCATGTGTATTTTATGTTTCTTTTGTTTAATATTAGGTGTTACTTGTATTTTATGTGTTTTTTGCCAGATGTTTAGTGTCAGTTTGCTCTGTGTTTACTTTTTTTTCGTGTTCGTTTCGTCTACCGCGAAGGGAGCTGTGTGTGACCTTGAGTGTCGGTGCTTGCCGGGAGAGAGAGAGACGAAGGACGCTTTGCGCCTAGGCTCGCGCAGCTGTCGGCGGTGTGTGTGCGTGCGTGCTTCCGTGCGTGTGTAAGTGCGTGACGCTTCAGTGCGAGCCCGCGAAGAGTGCGTGATGGCTTCCCCCCATCGATGCGGACGTTGGAGGTGCAGGAGGGTCATTGACCCACTGATGTCAGACCGTCTGGCTGTGCTCTGCTCTCGGCCGTCGCCGAAGAAGCCACGCTGTCTTTCCCACCATGGCTCCTGCGCGAGGCCAGCTGAAAGCAGCTATATGCTGCCGGCCAACGCCAGGGCGCCTCGCAGCCAATTTTGCTTCGGCCTCCCTGACCACTGGAGAGGCCCGGTTTCCCGCAACGTCCAGCTCCGTCATCGAGCCAGAAATGCGGGGCCTCCGAACAACCAAAGCGGCTTTCGTCGGACTCACCGCTTATCAAAACCCGCAGCGAGCCATCAGTGAGCCCCCTCCCGTACCTCTGTCCTCGCATTCGGGCATCGCACCCAGCGGACACTGTCCCGCCTTTACCGCCCCTCCGCGCACTGGACGCTATCCCCCTTCAGCACCACGAACACTAGTGCCACGTTGCTGTGCTCCCTTCCGCAGTTATTTGTATAGTGTCATGTGTTTATTTTGTTATTTATGTTTTTGTTCCTCATTTGTAATCTTTTTTTAGCAGCAGTAACAGGGCTGGACTGAGGTTAGCTGTCGCTCACAGCAGTGTCATTTTAACTGCATGGGTGACGTCCGGCTGCCTTTTGCAGACCGGTAAAGGGCAAATTTAGGAGAGGGGGATGTGGGAATTGAGGCTAGCCCGCTGCCTTTGCGCGGGCTTTGCCGCCTTTTCTGCCGTTCTCATGTCCCGACATGTCTGCCCTCCTTTGTTGTCTGCCATGGTGGGAGAGCGGAGTGACGTTTAACTCCCTCACCCGGAAGCGGATGTTGACTGTGGCGCCGCGCGCGGGGACTCTTGAGAGGTTTTCGCGCACTGCGTCGGGAGCGGTCAGATACTCTCCGGGACAGCAAACGGTGAGCCACGCAATCTTTTCCGTCCGTCGACTCCCGTCGCTCGGGGGCTCGTCGGATTTCGCTGACGGCGCCTCGAACCAGCGGCGAACGCTCACCTTTTGTTGCCCCGCTGCGTACGCACGGCCAAAGGGCGGTACGGTGTCCTAGTGCGTGGCCTCGCTACGCCGACCCGTCTCCCTCCGAAGCCAACGCGAGCGCCTTTGCCCTCGCTAGAGCAACCGGGCCTTTGTCCCGGTGGCTCCGTAGATCACCTTCACCGCGGAGACGTGCTCGTGGCACACTGTGTAGTACTTTGTGCCCGTGGCGTGGATAAGCCTACTTGCTTTCCCGCCGCGCCTTTTTGCAACGGGCTGTACTGCGTTTGGTGTTGTCACAATAAAGTGTTGCGACTTGAGCAGTATCGTGTTCTCGCCACGGCGACGGTTAACGCGTGCCCTGCGGCTCGTTAACACCGGACCCACGCTGGTGGCCGTACTCCTTCGGGATACGTGTACACCACAACTTGTGGTTGTGGCACTCAACTGCTAACCTGCACGTCGTATAATGCAATCTCGGCGGCGGCTGCTGCGTTTTCAATGGAGGCGAAACGTTCCAAGCCCGCGTACTTCGATTTAGGTGCACCCCAGGTGGTCTAAATTTTCGGAGCGCTCCACGACGGTGTCTCTCATAACCACATCCTACTTTTGGGACCTTAAAAACCTGATCAAACGATTATTATTCTCTCAAGTTTCGCCTACCATTTTTCTTCGCCTCCGCGCGGCGCTCACGGGCGGAAGCAAACTTTTGCGACCCCTGCAGGTTGCGCTGCATCATTTGGGCCGACTGAAAATTTCTCAATTGACAATACAGGTGAAGCGAAACATCATGATGTACGGGTCGATGGTGTGCATGTGACTGCTCTATGTGCCAGTGGCATCACGGCCAAACAGCCGAAGAGGAGGATGACAGAGGGTAGACTAGCGTGAGCTAAACGTACAAGCAGCACTACTCGCCTCGCTTAACCAGTTGTAAAAACATATATACCTAATCCTTCGAGGCTCTATCACAACGCGCTTAGCTTCCGAAACGCAGGATGCACCCCGCTAGCTTGATTCCTCAAACGCTAATACTGCGCTAAATGGAAAGCACATAACCACGCCGTCACTGAATCGAATCACCAGGTAGACATCATTCAAACGATCTACGCTGCGCTAAGACTAATAAAAGCTCTTTGGTGGCATTGGTTAGTGCAATGGCATCACCTCCTAGATTTGTTGCCTAGACTCTTGTAAGCGTAGCCTCTGCGATCAGCTGCGAAAACGCGCCGTTGCCGCGGTCACCCCAATCCGCCGATTACCAAAAGAAGCGTAGTTTTGTCAACGTTTTGACACACGTTAACGTTAACCCCAGCCTCGCTCATACCGTCCATCCACATTGAAATGGTGGTGTGACGCTGATCAGCCTGACCTGGCTGTAACAAGTTCGTCTGCACTTGCGCTCCCTTCGGGAGAAACCATGGCTAGGCTGAAGGAGACTCATGGCGTGCGCCATTTAGAGTAGGCGCTGATTATGTGTTTTATAATAAAAGTGTGTTATGCTGTGGTCCACTAATACTTCAGTAACCGATTTTGAAGACTGTGAGAAAAACAGCATGTTAGAGAGAAAGAACGAGGTGGCGTGTGTGATTGTTCAATGTTGATTGATTGATATGTGAGGTTTAGCGCCCCGAAACCACCACATGACTATGAGAGGCACCGTAGTGGAGGGCTCCGGAAACTTCGACCACCTGTCGTTCTTTAATGTGCACCCATATCTGAACACACGGGCCTACAACATTTCCGCCTCTATTGGAAATGCAGCCGCTGCAGCCGGGATCCAATCCCGCGACCTGCGGGTCAGCAGCCGAGTACCCTATAGCCACTAGACCAACGCGGCGGGGTGATTGTTTAATGTCTTTAACGTGTCTGAAAACCTGTGACACCGGCGGTTTGCAACGCGCGATGAACGGACAAAATTTCCACGTACGCGAAAGTGAGATATGTGTCCCGGATGCTCTGCTTGTAAAAAAAAAATTACCTTGAAATATTTTGTAACGTCGCAAATTACTCGCATGGGAGTCATCACTGTGCGCAGTCCGGAGCATCAGAAACAATTCAAATGTTTTTATGTGCACTGACAGCAGGCAATATCAGCATTTGTTGTCCGTCAATTTTACTGTCGTCCCTTACGGGAACATGTGAGCACTTGTCCTGTGCTTTACGGTATAGTAGCCTAAAACATCATCAACAGACAACTGAAGGAACAGTGTCCGCTTTTGGTGTTGTCTATTGGCAAACAAAATAACGAATTATACTAGTTGGACAAGCTTTGCTAGATTACGCTCCCGCTTCGGTCTCACAACGAGTGAGGCCGCCAAAGCAGAAGTGTTTTCCTTAGCTGTAGGTTGAGAGTTAAAGCATTGATGGTGCCCCGACCACCCTTTCATAAATGACGATAGTGTTTGTCGATTTGGGCTACAGTTAAACCTTCTATCTTGTATTGAGCTGCTGACGCAGTAGTCCCACAGGCGTTGCTGCTATTTCTGTGCTAGACTGCCATTTAACTTCTTGTTTTCATGTGGCCTAGATTAACTCGGAGAGTGTTGAAAGAGTTGGCTCTCAGCAAAGGTCATGCTAGAAGGCACGGGGACCTTCCTGATTGTGTTGGAAAGTTCTGGTAAGGTTGAGATTGATAAGTTCTGTGCAAGACTACTTCTTGTAAGATTATGTTTAAATACTATTGACAGCTGGCTCATGAAACAATGTATTACTTATAGTTTGGCTGCACTAATATTCTTCTGTGTGATTTGTAACTTCATTTACTACTCTGTCCTAGAAAAGCGAATGACTCGAATAATGTGCTGGAGGAAACAAAATGTTACACTAAACAATATTCTTAGCAGCCAAAGGAATCTTTAAAGAGCACCAAACTTGGTCATGCTCATTTTAGTTGCAAATCAGCTGAGAACTTTGTGAACTATTTCCACAGTATTGTAGCAAGGTACCCCGCTAACTCCAGCCAGAGTTCAAAAATATGTGACGCCGTTTTCCCCATTCATTGAAATGCGTCTGGTTTACTGTCGCATGGAGCTGCTGTTTTATCCTAACTGCTTGTTTAGGGATATAACTTAGCAAAATTTTGAAGCAACGCAGCTGGGAAAAAACTTCAATAAAAAAGTTGTAGGTTGGTTAGCGAAACGCTAACAATTTCTAATTGTCAATCTAGAAAGTGCTTTTTTGCTTGCTGCAGGTGCCCGCGAAATACAAACTATTACTATGTGACATGCCTGATTGTGTTCCAAAGCGAGCCAATTTTGATACGCTTGCACATTAAACTACGTTGCAGGTGTGCTGATGGCGGGAAATGGCGTAGACTTCGGTACCGTCTGGCTGCAGCACAGCGTACCCAGGTTCGTGGACGACGTCAAATACGGCTATAAGTACCCGGAAAACGGCCGAGAAAATGGACAGCTCTTCTTTTGCATAACATTCCCTCTAGGAACGGTGGAAAAAATTTGTATGTTTCATTGCTTTTTTCTTTAGCTGTCCGAACGTTTGTAGAACATGTCATAGAGAACTTTTGAGTCTGTAGGCATGCTATAAGCTACTCAATAAAAAACGTACATTTTCTTTCGAGAAAGAAAGGCTCAGCAGTGAGCTGGACCTTTCTAGCGAAAACAGGTATTCTGGTCAAGTCTCAGTAATAGATAAAACTAAAATGCTATAGGCTATTCATGTTTCACGTTTGAGTGATTTTGTATTGTTGCAAAAGGACTTTGGAAAAAATTTTTAACGTAATGAGAGATGCTAAAGGACTACTGACAGCTTATGGACATTCAACACTTGATGTGGAGCTCATAGAAAGAAAGAGTTGGTTCCATTCGAAACATTACTCTGATGTAAGTAATTCAGTTAAAATGACGGCTGAATTGCCAGTCAAGGTCCAGAGCACTGAAAGGCCAGGGCGCACGTCACTTATGGTAGTGATATCCAACGTTAGTAGAATGAGTGATGTCATCGGTGAGGCCTGCAAAAGTGTTGTGAAATGTCATGAGACATGCACATGGAAGAGATCTTTCGAATGTGCCCGGAAGAATTTTATAAAGTGGCACTTATGAGCGGTCAAGCTTATCGAGCTTTTTTTTTGTTAGACAAACTTCAACTCATCCATAGATGTTACTCAGCCGGGCTCAATCGGCATCATACTTTCCGAATTCTTGTGAGCAGGATTGATGGCGAATCGCTAGTCGGCCTGACTAAGTGTGAGTTGACAAACGCGTATTTTCGTCAGCGTATTCTTTACACAGAACTAAACAGGAGTTAACAAGGCAAGGAAGGTCCAAATCTGGGGTGATGGGACTAGACTGTACCACTTTTTCTCGGACTACGAAGGGGTTACTGCTACATGTTTCTAAAAGCCATGGGCCATCTTTTCGGATATGAAGTTTTGTCACTATGCTAGAAGAACACTTTCAATTTGCGCTTCGAATGAGAACTTCCCAAATGAATATGTGGCAAATAAGATGACGTGAACATTGGTATCAGTTGTAATGAAATACAAATATGACACGAAATTTTTCTGCTGCAATATGTTGCTTTAGCCTCTTGCATGTAAGAAAAAAATAGCGCGTAGATGGCATTGCGTAAAAAAGACCCAGAGTGGGGCCTTATACAGTTATTTATAGGCGGTAATGCACTCCCATACCAGACAATTGGCCTCTCTGGTAGAGTACTTGGCCGATAACTTCCACCCGAATACTCCACTTATTCTTCGGCCCTCAGTCATCTGCGGCTGCGAAGCAGATGACTATGGTGGTGGTCAGACCTGGAACTTTCTGGGGGGGGGGGGGGGTGCTAAAAACTCCAGATCCGGAAAGGCCACTATTAAAATCATGGCTTCAAAACGTTTAAGGCTAGAACGGAACATAGTGAGGTGGTCCTGGCCGTGCTCTTCGGGTTAACGAATTGTGTTAAACGGAATGTAAAAAGGCTCGGTGTAGTAAAAAGGACAAATGAGGATGAACTGCTGAAAATAGGGCGCGTCCTGCGTTGTAGTGACCTATTTTACAAAAAAAAAAAAAAACTTGGCTTGGGGTTTCTAATCTGTAGACTTATAACCAGTGACATATAATATTTATACCATTGATAAGTGTGGCAATTCCTAATTGAGCGCAATGAGTCTTACAAGATAAAATTGGTACTGCTGTACGCACCTGCATCTAGCCATGACGAGTTGAAAGTTTCTATAAGGACAATTAATCAGCAGTGAATAGGCTGTAACGCTATATAATGCATATATAAGTGACTTCAAAGTCAAGATAGGCAAGACAGCCGCCTGGAGACGAGGCAGTGGTGAAATATAACATCGGTTCTAGGAATACCAGAGGGAGTTATTGGTAAACTTCGCCGAACGCAAAAAATTGTCGGTCATAGATACCTTCCACCAAAAACCAGGTAAACGGAAGTGGACGTTGAGGAGTCTTAATGATGAACCTAATGATGAAGTATAGTTTATACTGTGTGCACACCTATTCATTGTGCAGTATGCGGAAGTGCTTGGGAAATAAGACATAATTCTGTGATGAAGGTATCAAAATTAGCCTAGACTTAAGAAAGGGGCGGCAAAATGGATAAGTAAGAAGCCGCTTAACAAGCTAGCCGTGAGAGGAAAAGTACCTGGTTTTAGGATCTCGCTTTAAGACATACTCGGCTCGAACCGAGGAAACTGACGTAAACGTTGTCGCAACAATTGTTCATCTGACGCGAAGCATTACCATTTGTGCAGCAAAATTTGCAGGTACAGTCATTAGACAAGACACCGGCAAGCTCTTCCAAGACACTGAAACTTCCTTAAGAAATGTCAAAGACTGAAAGTCTCAAACACAACCGTCAAAATAGAAATAGCAGAGCTCTCATAGTTAATCAACAGGCGTAAGGTAGCCGACGTACACCTTATCACGGTGGAGATTGTAGGCACTCTACAAAACATATGAAGCCTAAATGCTCTAAAAGAAAATGGCGCACGCGCAAAAACAAGCTTTATACCCTAATAGACAAGCACGGGAAGCTAACTGTACTAATATGAATAAAATAGGTAAAGTACCTTGTGGCGAACAGAATAAGGATACATTCTGTTCGCGCTCACATTCACGTTATATATGTGAGCGCGAACAGAGTGTAACCTGATTAGTGACGAAGGCAAGGCTCTGGCCAAAACTGTCGAAATGAATGCTTCCGTTGTTACCATTCTCATGGATTATCTACTGGACTAATATATATATATATATATATATATATATATATATATATATATATATATATATATATATATATATATATATATATAATATATATATATATATATATATATATTGTTATGGCGTTTATTAGCCGGCACACAGCGAGTCTACACAATGGCGACAGTAACGGCCAAAACACGGGGTCTCCGCGCGAGCGGCGTTCTCTTTGGGCAGACCCACTAGAAAGCACATAAGAGTTCGACCCACTTCAGTGTTCGGCGGCTTCTGTACAATTACCCCGGGGTCGAAGAGGGAGCCGCCTGGCGACCTAACAGCTTGTCACTACGAGCGGGTCATAGTAAGCCTTCAGACGCTCCACGTTGACTATGTCGCGCCCGCGGCGGCGCATGTCCGAAGATTGTTCAATTGGCTCGATAAGATAGTTGACCGGAGATGTGCGCTCGATCACACGGTAGGGACCTTCATATTTCGGGAGTAGTTTGGAAGAAAGGCCAGCTACAGAGGTCGGGATTGAGAGCCATACAAGGGAACCAGGAAGGAAGGTAGGGCTCAGAAGTGGCGGAGCCATCACGAATACTCTTCTGCCGCTCTTGCTCATGCGTCGTAAAAGTCTTGGCAAGCTCGCGACACTCTTCAGCAAGCCTGGCGGTCTCGGAAATAGGTGTACACTCAGATGGATCCGGCGTGTACGGGAGTATCGTGTCGATGGTGTGTGACGGGTGCCTTCCGTACAGCAAAAAGAAAGGTGAAAAACCAGTCGTGCTCTGAGGGGCGGTGTTGTAGGCGTAAGTGACGAAGTGCAGTATGGTATCCCAATTCGTGTGGTTGGCGGCGACGTACATCGACAGCATGTCGCCGAGGGTGCGGTTAAAGCGTTCGGTCAGACCATTCGTCTGCGGGTGGTAAGCAGTAGTTTTGCGATGGACAGAATGGCACTCAGTGAGAATGGCATCGACGACTTCTGACAAGAAGACACGGCCTCGATCGCTGAGAAGCTCCTGGGGTGGACCGTGGCGCAATATAAATTGATGTAGTAGGAAGGACGCAACATCACGCGCAGTAGCCGCAGGGAGAGCGGTGGTTTCGGCGTATCGCGTTAAATGATCTACGGCGACGATGGCCCAGCGGTTGCCAGTGGACGTCAGAGGAAGTGGTCCGTACAAATCGATACCTATGCGCCCAAACGGACGGTCAGGGCAAGGTAGCGGTTGCAGACCGGCTGGTGACATGTGTGCGGACGGTTTGCGGCGTTGGCAAGCGAGACAGGAGCGAACGAACTGCTGGACGTAGCGGTACATCCCGCGCCAGAAGTAGCGTTGTCTAATGCGATGATAGGTTTTGAATACCCCAGAGTGCGCGCACTGTGGATCAGAATGGAAGGATTCACATATCTCCGACCGCAGACTGCGGGGTATCACGAGTAGCCACTGCCGGCCATCGGCGTCGTAATTGCGTCGGTGTAGGAGGCCGTCACGAATGGCGAAATGGTGAGCTCGACGACGCAAGGCACGCGTGGATGGCGTTGCGGACGGATCAGAGAGCAAGTCGATCAGTTGGGCGATCCAATTATCCTTTCGCTGTTCGGTAGCGATGATGTCAACATCAATGGCAGAAACAACAACCGAGGATACTGAGCAGAGCACGTTAGCTTCAGGCAGAGGGGAGCGCGAGAGGGCGTCGGCGTCAGCATGCTGGCGTCCGTTGCGGTAGAGGACGCGGATGTCGTAGTCTTGTAAGCGAAGAGCCCAACGGGCGAGGCGGCCTGAGGGATCCTTCAATGATGACAGCCAGCATAGTGCATGATGGTCAGTGACGACATCGAATGGGCGACCATACAAATAAGGTCGAAACTTTGTAAGAGCCCAGACGATTGCCAGGCACTCTTTTTCCGTGACGGTGTAGTTTGTCTCGGCTCTTGTGAGCGTACGGCTTGCATATGCCACAACATAATCAGGGAACCCGGGTTTGCGCTGCGCCAGGACAGCGCCGAGGCCTACACCACTGGCGTCCGTGTGCACTTCTGTTGGGGCCGTAGGGTCATAGTGGCGGAGAATGGGAGGAGACGTCAACAAGTGGCGGAGCTTCAAGAACGCGTTGTCGCACTCTGACGACCACGAATTGAGGGGCCCGTTACTTCCGAGGAGCTTCGTCAGCGGTGATATAATCGTGGCGAAGTTTCGTATAAAGCGTCGGAAGTATGAGCACAGGCCCACGAAACTACGCAGTTCTTTGACGGACGCAGGTTTTGGAATTCGGCCACGGCCCGAAGCTTGGCTGGGTCAGGAAGAATGCCATCCTTGGACACGACGTACCCTAGGATGGTGAGTTGGCGTGCTGCAAAGCGGCACTTCTTCAGATTTAGTTGCAAGCCGGCATTGCTCACACGTGCGAAAACTTCTTTTAGACGTTGGAGATGGGTGGAGAAATCTGGAGCGAAGACAACAACGTCATCGAGGTAACACAAGCACGTGTGCCATTTCAAGTTGCGCAGTACGGTGTCCATCATGCGCTCAAATGTCGCAGGTGCATTACACAGACCAAACGGCATGACGTTGAATTCGTACAAGCCGTCGGGTGTGATGAAGGCAGTCTTCGGTCGAGCGTCATCAGCCAGGGGTACTTGCCAGTACACCGAGCGCAGATCGAGAGAAGAAAAAAATTGGGCTCCGTGAAGGCTGTCAATTGCGTCGTCGATGCGCGGCATTGGGTAGACATCCTTGCGAGTGATCTTATTGAGCCGTCTGTAGTCCACACAGAACCGCACAGAACCATCTTTCTTCGCAACAAGAACAACAGGAGACGCCCATGGACTGTCCGAGGGCCGAATGACGTCGCGTCGGAGCATATCGTCAACCTGCTCGTTAATTTGCCGGCGTTCAGCAGGCGACACGCGGTATGGACGTTGCCGTAATGGTGGATGGGCACCAGTGTCAATACGATGCGTAACAGTGGACGCGCGACCGAGAGAACTTCGCCCGACATCGAAAGAAGAACGGTATTCTTGCAACAGGTCTAGAAGCTGGGAACGCTGCACTGACGTAAGGTTGTCATCAATGAATGGGCCAAATACATCAGGAGATGATGGGTCAGAAGTAGAAACAGCACTGATGGTACGTGAATCGGGACAACGCGAGTCTTCGGGTACGTCCAGGACTTGTGCGTCGTCGACTGCTTCCACTCTGCCGAGACATTCCCCTTGAACCAAGGTAACAGTGTACGGGGATGGGTTGGTCACAAAAATAGCGGCGTTGCCTTGGGTGATTTGCACGGTCGCGAAAGGTACTAGCAACCCTTTCCTCCTGGAAGCACGGTAGGATGGCGAAACAAGTGCAATTGTGTCGGAGAGACCGGTGCAGTAGACCGATACGCCCATCGTCGAGCTTGGAGGCACTATAGTATCGTCTTTCACAAGAATCTTGTTCAGTGTCGAGGGACCGTCTTCTGGCGTCAAATGCGAGAAGGGCGAGAGTTCAATTTCGGCGGCGGCACAATGAATGACGGCGTCGTTGCGGGAGAGAAAATCCCATCCCAAGATGACGTCATGAGAGCATGCAGGAATGATGATGAATTGGGCGACATACAGAACGTCCTGAACGACAACGCGAGCTGTGCAGCCTGCTGTAGGATTAATACGATGTGAGCTAGCGGTACGAAGGGACAGTCCAGAAATCGGCGTCGTCACTTTTCGAAGCAAGCGGCAAAGGTTTTCGCTCATAACTGATACCGCAGCTCCAGTGTCAATAAGAGCAGATGCATGAACACCGTCCACAAGCACGTCAATGACATTAGATGGGCGGCTCTGAGGGCTTTCACAATGCGATAGCGTCGCAGTCCTTGCCTCTGGGACTGCGACGACTAGTTTTCCCGCTCATGAGCAGAAGAACTTGGCCGCATGGGGGACAGAGACCGACGTCGTGGAGACGGCGACCTTCGAGCAGACGGACCTGGGCGGGACGACAGTGGCACAGACGGCAGTTCCTCGTTATACGAACGGCTAAGGTGGCCAGCAACAGGAGAAGTGGGAGCCGGCTGTAGTCGAGAGCAATAACGGGCTACGTGACCGGCGTAACCGCAAGCAAAGCAGATGGGCCGGTTGTCGGGTGTGCGCCATCGGTTTGCCGGGGTGGGTCTCGCCCGGAACGGTGTCTGGAAAGGCTGCATGGTGGGCTGAAAATGAGGCTGAGGGGTTGCGCCAACATATGTAGCCGGCATACCCGCTGCAAAGGACGGAGGTCGTGCGGCAGCTTCGGCGTAAGTCACAGGTGCAGGCGCTTGAACGACTGGAGGCGGCCTTGCGACCACTTGGGCGTAACTTGGGGGTGCAGGGGCCGGAAGTTGTTGTGGGTGGTACGCAGGCATGACCTCCGCTATTTCCTGCTCAATCGCTCGGCGGATGGGTGGAAGAATGGTAGGGGCCGATTGTTGAGCAGCCGGTGGGTGGGCAAAGGGCAGGAGAGAGAACTGCCGCGCGATTTCCTCACGTATGAAGGACTTGAGATCTGCCAGCAGTGCCACCTGATCACAGCTCGCTTCCAAGCCTGCAAGCCCTGCATCTCGTGATGTGGAGCGACGGGTCATCGAACGCTGCCGGCGGAGCTCCTCGTAGCTCTGGCGCAGCTTGATGACCTCAGCTACTGTGCCTGGGTTTTTGGCAAGCAGCATCGTGAAGGCATCATCGTCAATGCCCTTCATGACGTTCCGGATCTTGTCTGATTCGGACATGCTGTCGTTCAACTTCTTGCACAAGTCCAGGACATCTTCAATGTAACTGGTGAATGACTCACCGGCCTGCTGAGCGCGTTCGCGTAAGCGCTGCTCGGCTTGCAGCTTGCGAACGGCAGGGCGGCCAAAAACGTTGGTGATAGCAGTCTTGAAACCGGACCAGGTTGCAAACTCGGACGCGTGGTTGGTGTACCACAAACTTGCAACGCCCGTAAGGTAGAACACCAAGTTTGTCAACTTGCCGTCCTCGTCCCATTTGTTGGGGACGCTCACGCGCTCGTAAATGGCGAGCCAGTCCTCCACGTCAGTGCCATCGGCGCCCGTGAAGATGGGTGGATCGCGGATCCTGGGGACACCGGGACATGGGGGTGGCATGGGAGGAGGCGTTTGCTGAGAGGCGTCGTGGGACATGGTAGATTGCAGCGTACGTGAGCGTAGTTCCAAGGGCATCGAAGGGGATCGTAGCACTCTCCACCAATTTGTTATGGCGTTTATTAGCCCGCACAGAGCGAGTCTACACAATGGCGACAGTAACGGCAAAAACACGGGGTCTCCGCGCGAGCGGCGTTCTCTTTGGGCAGACCCACTAGAAAGCACATAAGAGTTCGACCCACTTCAGTGTTCGGCGGCTTCTGTACAATATATATATATACACATAAGGAAAATAAGTGTATACTCAAGGGCTCGTTGTTCCGGGTTTCAACACAATAATATTAAGATCTAACAGGCAATGTTGCCAAGGAATGTATAAGCGAAGTTATTAGACCAATTGTAATGTAAATGTGAAAGAAGAAAAAAGTGTGTGCAAAGATATCTTGCCGTGAGCAGGAATTATATTTTCACCCACATTTCTTTCTTCAAATTTACATTACAATTGGTCTAATGAGTTCCCTTATATATTCTTTGGCAACATATTCAGTTAGATCTCATATATATACATATATATATATATGTCTGTGTGTGTGTGTGTTTAAACACAATAATAATGAGATCTAACAGACAATAATACCAATGAAAGTATAGGGGAGGTAATGTCAATTGTAATTTAAATGTGAAGAAAGAAAAGTGGTTGAAAAGATGACCTTGCCGGGGGCAGGACCAGAACCTGCGACCTTCGAATAACACGTTCGATGCTCTACCACTGAGCTACCACTATAGCTATCCCCCAGCAACTTTATTGGGTATATTTAAACGTGGGAGTGTCAGTCAGCGCCACCAGTAGCCTTGGCGGCGAGTGTGGCACACATTTCATGAGCCTGTTTGGCGTCGCGTAGCCAAGGAGGTTGTATAGAACATCTGGAGTGGCAGTCCCGGCCGCCACCAACGGGAGCAAGTGAAGGCGCCGGCTGCCACATTGCTAGAGGAAAAACATGGTGGAATCGCCATAGAGCGCAATGGACCGCAGTGGCTGCCTTTCTTGCGAGCAGGGTCCAGTCAGGTTCTTTATCGCCAATGAGACTGGATGACTAATATGGGAAGCTGCGTGGTACTATTGCATTTTTTTATTTTTATTTACACTGTTAGCCAAAGGCCAATACAGGGTGGAGTACTGAAATGCACTTCACTCATTGGTCAAAGACACAAGCACTACACAGTGAAATCAAGACAGACAATGCATCCTACAGCTTTAAACAAAACCACACAAACAAAAGGACATACAGATCGTAATGCAAACGAAAAGCAACTTTTACCAAAAGTACAACGCACAAAAGTATTCAAGTTTTACACTGTATAGTGACCAACATTGAGCAGAAAGCAACACAATCGCAGACACCGCACTCAACATACACTGTTCCACATGCTTGAAAATTATAACTTTTATAATTTATTACAATTTTTAAGGTATGGGTACGCAATAACTTTTCAAAGAGCGCACCCGCTAATATCTTCGCAAACATCGATAGCCTAGAAAGCAATTGAAATCATTTTTAGTTAACCACGCTGACGTCAATGAAAGGATGTAAAGGTCTTATACCTCAGCGTACAGTACATGCGCGTATACGAGAGGAGCCAGATGGTCGTTAGGTGATGAAATGTTCGTATAGTACCTAACATGGCCATACCTATTGATTGCCGCAAAAAGCATATATCGGAAGATTTATTATAGAATCACCTACCTCATTAAAAAAGTGCTGACTGTGATGCAATTTAACGTGTAGTCGTATAGCTATGTCTTAGTAAAGGATAACGTACGCAACGTTTTAGCAACATGGTATGCAATTTGCCATGAAGTGAGCTACGTGACGTCAACAGGCAGAATCTTACAGGAACACTCTTTCGAGATTTTCGAATTGGAAGCTATTTTGCAAAAAGCAAATTAAACAGTAATATTACGAACTATTTTTCAGCATACCATCTTCAGCTGCAGGCGGCGAACGTGTACCAGTCACGTTATTTTGAATGGACGAATACTTACAAGGAATTTGCTGCCCTGCTGCAGAAGCATTACATCAGGAAGCCTAGCGGTATAAAAGTGGACATTCTTCTGACTAGGAAGACCAGACCCGTCTTGGCTATTGCAAAGTCTCATACCTGGACAAGAGGTAGTAGAGAATACCTTCAGAATAAAATAACTTCTCCACTCACTTCTAGTGCAAACTTTGTATTGTTAGAATTAAAACTAATGACGGACCCGACGTTTCGGGACAGATCCGATGCATTCTTTAGGAATGACTGTTCAGCCCGCTCCGAAGCTAGTGACTCTTGCGAACAGAACCCTGTCACCAAACACATGGACCATCGCATCAACGTCGACGCCACCCGGGTCATCGATATGGAGGGTAGCCGCACAAAAGCGGCAGTTCTCAAAGTCCTGGCATATACAATCAACACCTGGAATTATCAATCATTCAAGAAGGGCGTTAACGAGTTTACACGCTCATGGTTTATGCAACCAATGGAGAAAACACGACAGCACCAAGAATATCCAAAAAGAAGACGATGGAGAGAAGGACACCACCAAGAAAAGTCTGTGGCTGTGGAGCCAGCCGTACATTTAATCCTGAAGAAGGGACCTAATGGGTCCCGAAACGTCGGGTCAGTTTTAGTTTCTTATCATTTTATTATTACAAACTTCGAGCAGCAGATGGCCGGACAACTTACTTTACTGGGATGAATTTGATACTGCGAGTGTGATATATATATATATATATATATATATATATATATATATATATATATATATATATATATATATATATATATATATATATATATATATATATATATATATATATATATATATATGAAAATAGATGCACTTGCACATAACAACTGTTTATTCTGCCGACGTTTCGAAGGGAACCCCGTCTTTTTCAAAGCATAAATGGCATAAAAGGCATAAAAAGACGGGGTTCCCGTCGAAACGTCGGCAGAATAAACAGCTGTTATGTGAAAGCGCATCTACTTTCATATTTATAACCTTGCGGCAACCGAAGGTATTTTTCTGCATTTAAGAATATATATATATATATATATATATATATATATATATATATATATATATATAAGGGAAAGAAGTGTATACCTAAGGGCTCGTTTTTCGGTGTTTTAACACAATATTAATGAGATCTAACACAGACAGTAATGCCAAGGAATGTACAGAGGAAGTTATTAGAACCAATGGAATGTAAATCAGAAGAAAGAAGAAAGAAAAGTGAATGAAAAAATAACCAGCCGTGAGCAGGAAACGAACCTACGACCTTCGAATAACGCGTTCGATGCTCCTGCTCACGGCTGGTTATATTTTCATCCACTTTTCTTTCTTCTTTCTTATTTACATTCCATTGGTTCTAATAACTTCCTCTGTACATTCCTTGGCATTACTGTCTGTTAGATCTCATTCATATATATATATATATATATATATATATATATATATATATATATATATATATATATATATATATATATATATATATATATATATATATATATATAGTCAAGTAGATACTTTGTGAGCAGCCACAACGAGGTTTATTTCGACTTTTCGGCCTAGAGTCTGGCCTTCATCAGAATCTCAATCCTGATGAAGGCCAGACTCTAGGCCGAAACGTCGAAATAAACCACGTTGTGACCGCTCACGGAGGATCTACTTGACTATATGCAACGCTACGGCCACTCAACCACCATGCCTGCACACACACACACACACACACACACACACACACACACACACACACACACACACACACACACACACACACACACACACATATATATATATATATATATATATATATATATATATATATATATTGTGGGAGTAATAATTCAATGGGCCAGTTAGTCTTCGTGAAGGTATGGGATATGGCACAACGGGAGCGTTGTCAACAAGGATAAATATATTTATTTCCCAACAGTTTCGGGAGGAGTCCTTCCTTCATCAGGGGATGAGTTATCCCTTGATGAAGGGAGGACCCCTCTCGAAACTGTTGGGAAATAAATATATTTATCCTGCTCCCGTTGTGCCATATCGCATACCTATATATATATATATATATATATATTATATATATATATATATATATAGTATTTTGTGAATACCTTCCATGATATTTATTGATTTACAGTAATTTAATGTAAACAATTATGAATGCTTTGGAAACGACGCTTTTCATCGCCTTACCGGCAACAAATACCGTTTCACCCATCATTGAGCCTCGGTAGGGAACCGCTTTTCAAACATGAGTCACATTGCTTTCATTTTAAAACACGTGCGTAGTTTTCATGCTGTAAACCCTAGCAATCTGTAGCAACAGGTCGCTGATGCAGTGATTATATAAAACATAGTACGTGCCTCTTGACCCCTTTTTCAAGGGCGTTCAAAAGGCACTCTTCCTAATGCCATATACCAACATAGCTTTATTAGAAAGCCCACTCGACATTCAATATTACTCACAACGTTTTACCTCACAGTAATATTTTATTAGTTTGATGTTTACGAATCTTTGTCTGCAAAGCTTTAAGGCCTCTATAGAGCCACAAATCTTTTCCACACCTTTTGTCCCATGGATTAACGCTCTTTATCAATTAAATGGACCTTGCGCCATGAAGCACTACACATAATCATCACCATCAATAACGGTGTAGTGGGCACTTAAAAACAGTACTTGCAGTAGGCATCGTAGGATAGTTTGACATAGCTAATGGCACGTGCGCAGTCGTTCGTTCCCTTTCAGCACAGTTGAGGCATCCACTGAGTGCTGAAGCCAGGCTAGCAATAGAGAAGGCGATGCACAAACTTCCTTTATGTTCTTTCTGCTCTGACATATGCTGACACGTATTTTTAGTTTTGTGCTGTTTTAACAAGAAGCCTTTCACGCCTGTATATTCACATGATCACTCAGCAATGACGAATTGACTGCGGCCAATGGATGGAAGCATGTATTTCAGTGGATGACCTAATAATGCATTAGGATATAAAACAGTCGCATTTTCACCAGAATCGCGAAGTAGTGAATCGACTAATTGAAATATTATACGAAATAAGGCAAGCAGGAAACTCAGTGAAGATCCGGCCATGCGTAATTCTACAAAACGTCCACGTAAAAAAAATACAGGGGCTCCTGAGGGAGGGGGGGGGGGGGGGGCTGTCTCTCGCTTTATCGCAACAAAAGCGGTGAGAGCAGAACGCGTAGAAGTGGAGAAGCCATGTACTTATGGCTATCCAAATGGCGCGCGTGACCGCGCAAATTCATTTCATTAAAGTTCGTAGTGGATGGCTGAGCGCGGCAGCTATGATCTGGCACCCTTTCATGCTCCTTCGACTGACGGAGCCTGCCAGCGCGCTTTGTCTTTGCTTGAGCCGCGTGCGTCAGCACCATTCACAACTTTTGCCTGCACATAGAACATACGAATCACAGGGCGACTTTACCTATTTATTTGGGCTCAATGCACAGTATGGCCGGCTGGTGCACCATAGAAAATTGTGCGTCGAGTGCGCATGTATTTGCTATCACGAGTGTGAAATTTTGCCAAAAGCTAGAAATCTATGTTGTATTGTGTGTTCGCTACTTTGCCGTTCAGTGTTTATACGTCTATTCATTTCAACACACCAGCCACCACATAGTGCTCTTCTAGCGCCTATTTGCCAGGCAACTCAGCAATTTTTTCGCGAACTCCATCGCTAATATTATACTCCTTTTGCTCCAGATATTTATTCCGAGGAACTCATTCGCCAGATGAACGACAGTATGGCCGTCCAGACCTGGAAAAATGGCATCGGCGGAGCGCAAACTACGCAATGTAATACGAAGCACTCAATTATTGATGTCGAGGAAGTTGGTTTACGCACTCAAAAGGGACCTTTGACATTCTCAAGCAAAGAGGACCACAGCAAGTGGTCTGTGGCACGAAAAAAAGCAGTCTTCTGCTTTTCTTCCTTGAACCGCATGGTAAGGGTTCAAGCAAGCTTGCTGTACTAACTAATGGGCCACCCTATTTTTACTTGCATTGCTAGCTCCCCTGGTCGTTTTACTGTGAGAGATCGTTTTACTGTGCCCAATCGTAAATGCAGATAAGGGTGCGACGCGAAATATTGTTCGGACAGAGAAGCTGTAATAATTAAGATGAAAATGCCTGCACAAAAAGTTAGCATAATGCCTCTGCGCTTCATACCGCACCTTGAAGAAAGAAAAAAAAAAACTCGATAAGAAGGTGAAGCGCTTGTCCTCCACCGCAGGTGCCGGCAAACTGCAGCCCACGGGGCACTATATTATGTTCCCTCGGCACGCTATCCAACCCACACACCTCCCCTGACTGTTTTCCATCTAAAGGCCATCATGGCAGTTTTTAGCTAAAATGAGGTTTTTGCTTGTTACCTATGTTACAACCCTTGCCCTTCGATTTGCCGTCGCCCCACCCCCTTCCCCCATGGTGTCCGCTTCATGCAACTTGGCTCTCGGCCCGAAAAGCTTACCAACCTCGGCTGTAGTGCATTCTCATAACCTTTTATTATGTACAGTGGATGCAAACATTACCCTCATGTTGAACTAGCTTTCGAAGAAAGAAAAGACAGTAATTCTTAGCGATTTTTTTAATGTGAGGAAATACATACACCTCAATTTTTGGCTGTCTTTACAAAGTATTCTCTTTGATTTCTGATAGTTAATTCTCACTCACTGGTTTCTTTTGAATGATATAGTAGTATTTGCTGACTTACTATTACTTTTTCGTCGGCTCACAAGGTATTCAAGCCCTCTAGAACTTTCTTAGGACTACAGGCCTATGTAAGTAAATGCCTTTGACTTTTGCATAATGCCAATGCTGCATAGGCGTCAGACCATGCACTGACTACTTTCTCCTCTCCTTCTATTTTCTTTCCTTTCTCTCTCTTTCATCTTTATACTCCAATTTTCATTCCCCATTGTAGGGTTGCAAACCGGACAAGTACATGGTTAACCTGCGTGTTTTCTCTCTTGTTGTTCTTTCCTTCCATCCTTCCTACTTACTTACGAAGTGACGGCGTTCGCCAGTGTGCTCCATCTCGCTGTATTTTAGTGCTGTTTTTTCATCACCTGCTACGTTTACGAAAGCGCCTTTCGTTGAAAAGGGGGGAGGTATTCCCCAGGCCTTCGTGAAGTCTGAGATCCACCACGCACATCAAGCCAGATTGAAGAAACTACGGAGTAGAAGCGCGAGGCTGCCCGAGTTATCGAACAGCTCAAAAAAGGATGCTATGAAATTGCGAGAAGAGTTTACGACAGTCAGAACTCGTCGCCTTAAAAGAAAACTACATCGGACATCAGTACGACATTTGAGTTATCGACGCCTAAGGACACTTCATCCTTTATGATTTGATATATGTGACCACATCATCAAGTCACAATATTATTAGCCTTAATAGTCGATTCTCAACAGAATTATTTGGCCGCACACCACCAGGCCAGAACAGTGCAGTTCAAATGAACTCTCGTAAGAACATACTTACGGTCGATGCGAACAGTCTAACAGTGCTGGAAACGTTGAAAAGCATTCAGGCACTTGGTAATTTTCTGGTTCCCCCTTGGGTGTATGGCAAGGGTACTTCAACTGGTGTAATCTCTGACAAAGACTCTCAAATCACGGAAGAGAATCCCAGCAAACATTTGACGTAAACGGTGCGAATATTTACTTTGCACCCCTCGGACAGTCACGTTATGTCAAGCTGGTCTTCTACTGATCTTTTTTGCCAGCTCATGTGAAAGTGGGATACGTGAGGCATCTGGTGCAGCCATGCGTACCGAGACCTGTTCAGTGTCACATATGCCAGCAGATAGGACATGTGAGTGCACTCTGTAGAGCACTATGACTTGCCAACGGCTAGTTGAAAGCCACGAAGTGCAGGAATGGTAATTGGAAACGCCTAAGTGTCCAAGTTGTGCTGGTTCTCATGATGCGACAACCAAGTAGTCTCTGAAACTCAGGGGCGAAGCACGAATTCTAAAGAAAATGGCCGGGGATCACTCAAAGGGAGGCAGCTCGATCTGAAAGTCGGCGGCGGCGGTGCTCACGGCTGAAGCACAAGCTTACCAGCAGTACAACCAGACCCCAAGAAGCGGATGCGCCTCCGAAGCCCAGCATCGTGCTTTCTCAGCCACCAAGAGAGTCAGGAAACGTCTTGAACAAACAATGGCCTCCCAGATGGCGGGCGCACGGTGCATTTCTCTCCGGCCGTCCCACACGAAGGGAGAGAGCGTGTTTCAAGAGGTGAGCGTGTTTCTCCCACAGGACCGCGGCTCTCCCACAGAGGATCGAAAAGACTGCCTCGCTATTGGTGAAGCTTGCATGTGGCGAGAAAAAAAAAGGTTTTGTGCTTTTAGATAAACTCCCGCTCATTTCGAAATGCCAAGTGAATGTGTTCTAGAGGCAAAGTCAATGCTGGGGCGCATATATTCTCAGAAGGGCTTTATTTTTTTTTGTTGCTATAGATTTCAGCCGTATTAGAGCACTTATTATTGCGATGCTTCAGCGAAAATCACTATGTGCCAGCAACTGGTTATACTTCGCCGTTTGTGGACAGTAAGCATGGGGGGCACTGCATTGTGAAGAAGAAAAAGAAGACAGCCCGATCCGCAAGCGCAGCCAGAAGAGTGCCGTGTTAGGATCGAATCCCAGCCTCAGCGTCTGCATTTAACATCGAGAAGAAAATACTTGCTGTTCATGTGCTTAGATTTAGGAGCACGTCAAAAAACTTCACGTTGTCGAAATTGCCGGAGCCCTCCACTACAGCGTCTCTCATAATCAAATGCGGTTTTGACACGTTAAACTCTAAAAATTATATAAGAGCGCGGCATTCATAACTAACCGCTTCATCTTGATCACCATCAGCCTGACTACTTTCACCGCAGGACAAAAGCCTCTCCCAGGTTCCGCCAGTCAACTCGGTTCTATGCTTTCTGCTGCCACTCTATGCCCGCAAACTCCTTTATCTCATCTGCCAACCTAACTTTGTCTTCCCCTCACCCGCTTGCCTTCTATTGTAATACAGTCTGTGATCCTTAATGACTACAACGATTCCGCAAAAAAAAAGAGAGAACATAGAAGGCACATGCACTCCGCAAGTGCGTGTGCCTTCTGTGTTCTTGTCGTTTTTTTTATTTTTTTGCTCAGTTTTTGCAGTTTTTTTGCTCAGTTTTTCAGTTCTTTAAGTCCTTATTGTCCAGCGGTTATCTTGGCTTTGCGCTACGCTCCCTGCCCATGACCATTTGTTATTCTTCATTTCGACTATGATGTCCTTAACACCCATTTGTTTCCTGACCCACTCTGCTGTTTTCTTGTCTCTTAGGCTTGCACCTATTATTTTCCTTTCCATTCCTCGCTGCCTTGCCCTCAACTTAAGTTGAACTGTGTAATCCTCCAAATTTCTGCTCCTTAGTTGAGTACCGGCCCCGCCACGGTGGTGTAGTGGCTAAGGTACTTGGCTGCTGACCCGCAGGTCGCTGGTTCAAATCCCGGCTGCGGCGGCTGCATTTCCGATGGAGGCGGAAATGTTTTAGGCCCGTGTGCTCAGATTTGGGTGCGCGTTAAAGAACCCCAGGTGGTCAAAATTTCCGGAGCCCTCCACTACGGCGTCTCTCATAATCATATGGTGGTTTTGGGACGTTAAACCCCACATATCAATCAATCAATTAGTTGACTACCGGTAAGGTGAAGCTGGTATATACCTTCCTCTTGAGAAATAGTACCACTCTGCCATTCAAGATTTGAGACTGCTTGCCGAATGTGCTCCATTCCATTATTCTTTTAGTTAATTCAAGTTCGTGGTTCAGTTACTGCCTGTCCTAAGTAGAGGTACTCTTCTGCAACTTTAGTTCAGGGGTCGCACTTGAATAAATACGTGATTTTTTTTTCCTTTTGTGGAACTAGAGCTGTTTATCGTATTCTAACGCCGTTTCCTGAATTTTTTCAAACGCGCTGATGTAATCAGAGCTTTCGCGAAAGGCACACCCGCCTAGCGCAAAGCGCTTCGCACTCGTCCGCGATGCCTCCCCAGCTTCCATTTTCAACTACCTGCCGTCGCACCACAGACTCAAAAGAAAGAAAGGAGGGTGCTTGCGGTCGCCATACGTTTAAACTACGTCTAGATTGAACGTCACCGGTTACACGACGACAACGGGCTGGTTACTGACGGGTTTTCATGACTTATGGTTCCGCATTCGCACTGAAGTGTTACGGTGTTCAGTGTATGCGTTGAGCAATAGAAATATTTGCTCGTTGAGGAAGAAGGCAACAGGCGTTCAGAGTTTGGTGTAGCTGGCATGGAACACTGTGCGTTACATAGAAGTGACAATTTGCACTTTTTTTTCTTCAACAGTGCACCTAGACGAATACTTAGTTTTCTTCAGGAAGATGTCACTCTCCTGCATATGCGACCCTTTGGTTTCGATCCAATCAAAAGCGCAATAAATATCCAGGATACTGATGTTGCCATTGTGCTACCAAAACATGGTCAAAGCGCAGATACAAAAAAAGAGACGATGACAACTCGGCCACTTTCACTGTGAAAGAGATGGGAGTAAATTTAGGTCAAATAATCAAAGCCTTCTACAATACTCCTATAAAATTACTTATCCTCTTACTTGAGTGACATGACCAGCACACTAAGTTATCTAGAGCGTGACTGGCTTCTGTTGACCACCTCATAGATATCGATGCGCGATAAACTACTAAAATGATGTGCCACGATAGGGGGCAAGTATGATTCGACGACGATAACTAGCCCAGTTTTCATCCATACACGTCTCCAGAAAGGAGAAAGGAGGAAAGCTAGAATGCCTATATATTTCTCAAATTAAGGTGTTTAGCACCAAAACGCCAGGAATCGTGATAAAAAACGTAATACTGCCACAGACGAATTGATACTTATCAGAAAAATGCCGCAGTTGCCATGCTTTTCGTTGCAAATTTGACGAAA